TCGAAATCTTTTTATTGAACCTATACGTATGATCTTTAAATATTTAAGGAAAAATAGGTTTAATCCCTTGAGGCTTCAGTATGATGCTCGGTTCCCTATGATATATACATAGTTGCCATACATATCCGAACAATGTGTGGACTTAAAGCTTTTTCGCAAACGCTGAATTTTTAACGGTTTTTGTTGTGTTTTTTTTTTTAAAGAAATTTTTTCAATGCAGAGTTTTACTCATAGCTCTAATATTATATATACATATGTCTATTAAACAGTTGCTTAGTATTAAAAAATATAAATTTTTCGGAAACTTGAAGCATCTTCTAGCCTGGTTTGGAGCATATGTATGTATTTTTCACCGAAGGGTTGCATTCGAAATACATTCTCCATCACTGCGCTTTATTTCCTACCCAATAATCAATATTATTTTTATTTGTATTGTTTATATTTTATTTTACTTTTTTTTTTTGCTTTATTTAAACTAATTTTATTTTTTTTACGCTTGAACAAAAATTGCTTTTTTTATTTACTTTTATTTTATTTATTTTTAATTTCTACAAATCCGATTTTCATTGAGTGTTTGAACACTTTAAAACAAATAACGGTATTTAAATTTTAATCGCATTATAATTGTATTTGCATATTGAATATAATTGTGTTTATACATATGTATGCATGTATGCAAGTTTGCATGTATATTAGGGTACGTCAAAAAAATTTTGTTGCGCATATTTGGTGATAATTGTTTTACATCAAATAAAAGCTTTTGCGAGAGTACAAGTAGAAATTGAAAACATCAAAAAGAAGAAAAAAACATTAACTTCTTCAAGCTGCGCAAAAGCTATAATACCCTCCAAAGGTACATTTCTTATGGCATAAAAGGGTATCAAACGAACTTTTTCTTGATTTTCATTGGTCTGTTTATACGGCAGCTATATGATATAGTGGTCTGATCTGAACAATATTTTTGAGGGATACCGGGTTGCCTTAGACAATAATCTCTGCCGAATGCCGTAAAGATATGTTGTCAAATAAAAAAGTTTTCCATACAAGAACTTGATTTTGATTATATTTGATAATATGAACGAAGATTGTAGCTTTGCTTTGGAAAATAATTTGAGCCAAAATTCGGCAAGATATTGTAAAAAAATTTCCAAGTATTTTATTGCGATCAGTTAGTTTGTACGGCAGCTATATGCTATAGTGGTCCGATATCGGCGGTAACGACAAAAAAGCAGCTTTTTGAAGAAAGAAGATCGAATTCTCAAAAGTAAGAGACTAGTTTGCGTAATATGACTAAAATGAGCTGGGTCACGCTGTTAATTTATGTTAATATTTTATAGGGTCTCCGTCGTTTCCTTCTGGGTATTTCAACTTGGTGGCTAATTGAAGATGTCTGTGCTGGATATACAATTTGCTTTGTAGCACCCTAAAGTGTATGTTTTAAAAAAAAATTTTGTATGTTAGTAATACGTTTGTATATTGAAATATTGTTGTTTTTGATTTTCCTCACCTACAAACACCACCACAAAACAAGTGCTTATATTTTCTCGGTACATTTCCGTTATTGGTCGATGTGGTATATACATACAGGTAAATATATTAATTTATTTAATTTTATTAACTATGACTGCAAATTTAGTTTATTTACCTAAAATATTTTCTATTTCAATTTTTATATAATTTATTTTTTGTTTTATTGTTTGAATTTTGTGTTTCTATATCTGCGGCTTTTGATAGTATTTTTTGCCAAATTTAGTGGCGAAAAGGCTGGAGTAACAAAATTAACTGCGGCAGGTAAAAGTCCGTTGGTATTTATTTTTGAGTGTACGCCTTGAAGCTATTGAGTTTTAGTGAAATATATTTTAAGTACATTTTATGGCATTGAAATTAATAATATTTGTTGCAAAATCCATTTGAAATACAAGTATAAATACAATATATGAGAAAGGAAAGGAATATTGGAAAGGCATAAAACTCAGCTGCTGTTTACCGTTAACAAAGCATGAGCTAAAGCTGTCCCGGTAAATATCAGGCATAGAAATTGTATATATGCATACATAATTCACATACCACATACATGTGTGTGTGTAACCTTTGCATATACTAATGATGCGGTAGTGGAAATTGTATGGTCAGTTACATTTCGGTTGACTTAGCAATAAAAATACACACAATTTGATTATCTGCAATCGTACATGTGTATTTATGGCAATTTTATTGTTATTTTTAGATGAATTGATATTTGGCCAATATTTATATTGCATTTAAATTATATAATGGCAGAGAATATATGTATATGTCTCACTTATACGAGTACATATGCGTGTTTTGCATTCAAGCCAGCACGCAAATAATAAATAATATTATTTTTACTGTATATGAACACATAAAACTTCATTTTAGCCAAACAAATGTACTCACATGCATGTATATATACTTGTACATACAAGTATATGTTATATAACTTAGTTTAATTGCTGCGAAAAATGCGGCTTTTCAATTTTATAGCACAATTTACGCCTTAAATTATGGTGATGTAATTGAAATCAATATATTATTCATAATTATTTAATTTATTAGATTTCTTCACACTTTTGACCGCAGCTAGGCACGCGAACGTGTGATATAATATACATATTATATATAAACGAATTCTGGGCTTTAAAAGCAGTTTTGCTTTCGCTATAATAAATAATGATACATTTTTATACTCCTGCAACATTGTGATACAGAGTATACTAGTTTTGTTCACCTAACGGTTGTTGGTATCACCTAACACTAATAATAATAATAACCCAACGAGTACCCTCCTCCCGCACAACCGACGAGAGGGTCGCAATCCGCATATGTGCGGAATTAGCCAAGTCAAAAGAGGCAAGAGAGTTTTTTAAGTGTTGTTATCTAAAACTGCTCAGATACAGAAACAAAAATTTCAACAGCTAAGATTTATAGTTACGATATAATAAATTGTTACATTGTTATTTATTAAGAGAAAGCAATTAAGTCTTTTTAATTATGAAAAGTAAGTCAGATAAGTCAAATGTGCTAGAATGAGAATTAAAATCATGACATATCCGGCGGAATGGTTCGTTTAGTTCGAAATTTGATTTGCAGGACTTTAATAGTTAAGGGCTTATTTGCCTCGAAAAGTGAACTGAGATATTAAATATAATTTCAAACGGGAGAAAAGAACTGTAAACTGTTCCATTTTCACTAAGAATGTTATGCCAAGCATTTCCCTACGACTAGAAATTGTAGGCAGATTAATAAGTTTTAAGCGACTTACCCTAGAACCCTATCGGAAATGCCCTTAGGCGAAAAGTAAAACTTGTTTTTGAACAGACTCTAACTTGTCAGAATTTGTTTAGTAGCTAGGTATCGTAGATATAGGGTAAAATATATATAATATATAAATGATCAGGATGATGAGACGAGCTGAAATCCGAGTGAATGTCTGCCTGTCCGTCCGTGCAAGCAATAACTTGAGTAAAAAATAAGATATCGTAATGAAACTTGTTACAAACCAAAAAGTTAGGAATAGTTCGTAACTGGGCGTAATCGGACCACTGCCATGCCCACAAAACGCCATTTATCGAAAACCTTTAAAATTCCATAACTAAGCACTAAATCAACCTATTTGGTACCAGTTTGTTTACACCTGTTGTATAAAAATTATAAAAAATGGACATGGACATCGCTTAGATCAAAAATAAATCCTATATAAATGCCCACCGACATTGTGAAAATTGATGAAATCAGATTATAACCCCGTCCTAACCCCATTTAAACTGCTACATATGGTATTGATACTGTACAGGCAATCACGCCCAATTTCCATATGATCTATGCCGTTCTGGTAATTATGATATCAAAGACGCATCCCGCTCTGGAAGGCCAATTGTCGAAAACAGCGTTCAAATAATGTAAATCATCGAGTTCGACCATCCTGAAGACACTGCTTGGATTACCCAGAAGCTCACTATTGCACAAAAATCCGTTTTGGAACCATTTAAAATAGGCTATATACAAACTGAAGCTCCAGCTGCTGAATCGCAACAAAATCGATCAATTTCTGAATTTGCTGGCTACCGGTGACAAAAAGTGGGTAATTTACGACAGCGTCAAAAGGTCGCAGTCGAATCGCGACACAAACGGTGGCCAAGCCAATAAGGCCAAACCCTTAACTGTACCTGTACTGTTATATACTGTTAACAATTGAACCGTCTGAAGTGAACAATCGCTCAGAAGCGGCCGGCTTTGATTAAAAGGAGAAGAATTGTGTTACATCGGGAACACGCCAGGCCACAAACATCGATAAAGACTCGTCAGAAGCCCCGAGAGCTTGGTTGAGAGGTTCTTATGTATACCTTATCTTATAGTCCGAACATGTCGACAAGTTAGCACTATATGTTAGCCTGTATAGCGAATGATTTTCTTTGTGAAAAATTTGCATCGAGGGAAAATTGTAAAAATCGACTGTCTCAGTATATTTGCCAATAGGGACGAGCGATTCCATGAGAATGGCATTATGAAGTGTTTCAATTTTCGAATAAAACGTTGCATATTTGACCTAAATCGGATCATTCTAACTATGCTAAATAAAACCCTAATTTTAATTCAAAGATATTATATTTCTTTATACTAGCCTTTGTATTAATACTATTCGTCTTACGTCGTTGCATTTAGAGGAGTATTAGGAATTACATCGAGACTAAGCTTAAACCTATTCAATTAAGATCCAACACAGTGAAAACAAAAGAGCAGCAAGTGAGACTAAGTAGAGAGAACAGTGGATGGACTGAAGAAAGTTTAAAAATTTAGAAAATTAATAAAAATAGTAGCTAGAACCACGTCTCATTTTATTTCGGCGGTAATACCGGGTTCCATACTAAAGTTTTCGCGTTTAGTTGAAATATTTTTCGTATTCTCATAAAAAATTCACACATATTTTGAAATGCTACTGACAAAGAACCAGAATGGTTTGATTGTATGTTGGTACTTACAGTGTTTGCTCTTCTCGGCGGCGACTTGATGTTGGGGCGTTTGGGCCATTACGCCGAAAAGCATTAGCCACATAAGCAACCATTTTATTGATGGTGCTGTTGTTGTAGTTTTTGTTGTTGCCCACTGCGAATTTGCATGATTTTCAATGGTTGTTGTTGTTGTTGTTTTTACCGTTGTTGTGCTCCCAACGCCAACTGTTGCCGTCTGCTTGCTGGCCACGCTTTTTTTCATTTGGTTCGCGGCGTTTTTTCTTTCAAATTCAGTTTTTACGACGGCAGTAGTTAGTGTTGTTGTTATTGTTGCCAAGGCAGTTGCTAGCAACATGGGTAATTTGAAAATTGACCAATTGTTATTGTTTTTGTTTTGCTTAGCGCTCTCAGCAATTACAGCAGTATACGCTTTAGTTGTTGTTGCTGTTTTACACTCAATAACTGATATTGTTGTTGTTATGCAAAAATCATCATCAGCTCTGGCCGACTGTAATCCTTCAGTCCGTATAGCCGCAGCATTGCTAGGCAAGCGCTCGGCAGCTACTTCTTCTCTGCCTGTTGTTGTTGTTGCGAATTTCGCTTTTGCCTCTGCCACACTTTCTTCCACAACAACTATTGACTTTAGCTGTTTTTGCGGCACATTTCCAACACATTTGCCCGCAAGCCATGTGCGCTTGTTGTTGACGCGGCCACCCGCTGTTGATAGCGACGGCATTACCGATGGCGGCGGCGGCGGTGGTGGTGGCGGCAACGGTGGCCCCGGTCCACACGATGTCGGCCGCAACATGGCGTCTACACGTCTGCAGCGCCGTTTTTACAGCTCAACTGGCGGCCAAGCTGGCTAATTTCACTACTCTCCTCTTTCTACTTCTGCTTCTTATTTTTGATTCGTCTATGCTCGCGTAAGACCTTCGCTCTTTGTTGTGTTTTGCACCTTTTTAGTCACTTTAAATTGCATTTACTGTTTGCTACTGTGTATTTTCACACTATGACTCTGACACGCTCACAGCAAGTGTTGTTATTTTTATTGTTGCTTGCGCCTCATTTTAGCGCAATTAGGCGCTTTTAATTGCAATGACAGTTGCAGTTGCTGGCGGCAATCGAATTATTACTCGGAAATTTTCATCAATTTTCAACAGCGCACAATTTTGTGCGTGGTTGCGGGGAGACCAAATGCGTTCCAACTCTCTCGCGCTCACTTTTTTTCGTAATAAGTTTGCTGAAATTGGAATTTGTGGGAAATGCATTATTAGTGGATATTATGACAGCTGATTTCTGAAAGCAGAATTATTATCAGAATTATTTATTGTAGTTGTTGTTATTATTATTATTTTTTTGTTTTTTTGTTTTGTCCATAGGCACTCATAAATAAGTTTAAATTGCAAAAAGCTTTGACTAGTCAAAATTATATTTCAAATCTATGTGTCTCATCTATCGTGACCACATAATACGGTCGTATATTAACAAAATTTCACAGCTTCATGACAAAGACGAGCCAATCTAATCAACCAAACAAACAGAGTTCCCATCGATACTTAATCCAGTCTAAAATGAGAGTAAAAATAGCCGACCGCATTGTTTAGAAATCCGTCCGTACTCTAACTATGATCCTGACAACAACCCAAATTTAAAAGTCACTGCTCCAGCGGTAATGTCAAACCACCTCTGAACACATGTTTACCATCAAAAAGCTTCTTATAAAGTCCATTAGCTTTCGAAGTCGATTAAAAGCATTTAGGTTCCTAATTTGCCGGTAACATCTAAGTACAGAGGGCAAATGAAAGTAAACACTAATAGAAGGTTTTGACAGCTCGTCGCTGTTTACGGATTTGTATAAAGTTTTGTTAGTGTGCTCAGTAAAGTTTGCCATGTCATCATGTCACGTTTCACTTTGATACAACTATTGGAAATGTATAAAATTAGCGAGCGTTATAACATGATGTTGAACGATTTTTTATTTTCCGGAATTTGATGAAATCGACGCGGACTCTATTTCCAACGAGACGGTGCGCTGCGCATATTTGACGACTCATTAGTTTCGAGAAATCGTCAAGTGAAATGGCTACCAAGATCATGTGATTTAACGTCTCAAGAGTATTTTCACTGGGGGTATGTTAAAACAAGAGCTCGAAGAGAATATTCAGCGCACAATGGCCGAAATTTTGTTCAAATCATCAATGGCATAACAGATAAATGTATAACAAAAAAAAAAGGATAACCCATTTTAACCGAATTTGAAAGTTTTCTTTCATTTTATTATCACGTCTTTCTTGCTGGTAGACCGTATATATATAATATACAGCTATATCCTCACACATCCTAACGTCGAGCTCTACTTGAACAATTAACCGCCTTCAATTAGTTTTGGTCGAAAATTTTTAGAGACAGGGCCTGTATGTGTGTGAAACGTTCTTGCATACGTATGCAAATTAACTTCCCCTGGTGTGGGATAAGAAGAAAGATTCTTGATTACTTACACGGAAATTTAAAAGTCACCATAAATATTTCTGCTTGTGGACCGAGTCAAACACAACATTGCTTTTTAATAGAGATATTTTTTTTTCAATAATAGAAATTGAGACCAGTTGCTGTGGTACATATACTCAAGAGTTCCACGGTGGCTTATAAATACGTACCAGCAACCGAGGTAGTTTCTTGACAGTGTACGTTTCTTCTTCGTCAATCTACCTTGAATGTATACTTTACCAAACAATCATAAAGGTGGTATAACCTCGGTATTTTTATACCCTTTATAGGGTAAATTCAGTTTGCCACGATATTTATAATTCTAGGTGTTGGAGAGAGAGCATAAAAAGTGTACGAGTATAGTCGATTTAGCTGCGTCTGTCTGTCAATCTGTATATACGCGAACTAGTCTCTCAGTTTTTGAAATATCAATATCAACATTTTTAGACGTTCTTCTCTCACCAAGAAGCTGCTCATTTGTCGGAACCACCGATATTCGTACACTATAGCATATAGCTGTCATAAAAAATGACCGATCAAACTGAAGTCCTATATTTGACAAAGCATCTTCATGATAATTTACAAAGATTGGTATTGACAGCATCGCTATAATCTTCGAATAGGAACACCATAGCATATAGCTGCCACACAAACTGAAAAATCAAAATCAAGATAAAACTCGTTGTATACCCTCTTATGCTTTAATAAATACACCTGTGAAGGGTTCATTTATTTATGAACGCTTTCTACATTTCCTTGTTCGATTCACCACTCACCAAGATTGGTTTTATTTTCCACAATTGTCTTACTATCTTGACAGAATGTCACGAAATGAATATTAAATGCGAATTAAAATTATTGATAGCTAAATTGCATACACAAATTCATACAATAATTGCTCTACCTTTAAACCGATAAATCTATAAATGTAGTACCGATTTCGAAGCGAGTTGATAAGCCATAGAGTCTTGAAATAAATCAGTTGAGTAGAACATTATTTACTATCTATAAATACACAAATAAATGCGAACTTACAAGTATTAAAATACCCATGAGTGTATGTAAATATAGCGGCACCGATGCCCTCTCATCCCACAACTGATAGCGATGGCAGTTGTGTGCTTTCAAGTCAAGAAAGAGAAGGCGCGCCTTCTCATATATCATTTATAGGGGACTTAAGCATAGACAGACATAGAATACACTCACTAACCGTGTCTTGAATAATTCAATATTCAATATCAGCGTCAATCTCTCAACAGGAAAATTCGAAGTAATTTATAAATCTCTGCTTATTTACCGATTTTTACTATACTACAAAATACCTTCTTCGGTCGACTTAAGCTTCTTGAGCATATACGATTTTTCTTTTTAAAAAAGCAAACTCCGATAACCAGTAATTAAAACTTGAATTAAATGATCAATTTTGATTTTAATTTAGCAAGAGTAAAAATGAACCGTTTAGCAACGAAAGAATATAAAACAGAGTCTTTGCGGAACGCTTGTCATTCTTCAGAATAAAAAATATCAAGAGGAACGTATTAGAATATAGACAATTAACAGATATTTTTTAAATAAATATAACATATATAGCCTAAAAGTTCTTACTTTTGCGAAAAATAGAACATATGTTTTTTATGTTATTCATAACCGAGATTCAAAGGTCTTTCTCAACAAACTGCAGTGTATATTCAACCGACTCAAACACATCGGCTGCAGGCAGAGTTATATACTAACTGCTAATGGTTCAGGAAATTGAGATAAAACGTCTGTGGCTAAACGTTTACTCAGACCTGTATATGTGAAATAAATCATATAACCATATTTTAGTTAAAAATTTAAGCCCGCTCTTCCCACCCCATTAATAAGTGTATTCTTACTCGTATAAGCTCCGAAAAGTATCAATAGCTGTTTAGCTGACTTTCTAACCCCACTTTTTGGTTGTAGACTTTGATAAATTTCTACTGTTAGGACTTTAATCTGTATCAGATTATTTTTTATTTGATTTCTAAAATTAATATTTCCATATTACTCGACCGTTATTCTTAAAATATCCTATATTTTAGACTCTCGGTAGCCGATACTCGAACCATTTATTCACTAAATAGTAATGACGTACCGAAATGACCGTTTATGTTTTAAGTATAAAATATATCAAAAATAAATCAAGTGTATTTAGTGCTCGAGTCAGCATTTCATTAGCTACTTAGCTCACTTGGAAATGCCTACAAGTAGGCTATGTTAAAAAAACAATAAAAACGTTAACTTCAGTTGCACCGAAGCTATAATATCCTTCGCAAATATGATATAGTGATCTGATATGAACAATTTCTGCGGAGAATAATTTATTGCCTTAAGCAATAACTCGTGCCTGTTTTCGTGAAGATACCTCGTCAAATGAAAGAGTTTTCCATACAATCACTTGATTCCGATTGTTCAGTTTGTATGGCAGCTATATGGTGTAGTAGTTCGATGTCGGCCGTTCCGACATATGAGCAGCTTTTAGTGAGAAAAGGACAGGTGCCAAATGTCAGAAGCTTAAAAACTGAGAGACTAGTTTATATATATACAGACTTCGTGGCAAATTTAATATACCCTGGGTAAAAAAAAAGATGAGTTCTCATGAGAATGGAGAACTATTCAAACCTAAAAGTAAAATAAAATAATAATTAATTTTCTTTTCGTCTGAAGGTAAGCGCTATTGCAAACGTGCCCATGTTTTAACTTTCTGCTTGCACAAAAATTCTCGTCCCAAAGTTCCTTATCATTTTTGCAGACAGTCATAATACAGCAACCCTGTTTTCGAACTGGAGTGTATTTGACTAATTTTTAATTATTTTGATTAAAAAAATTAATATGACATTAAATGTGTACCCAAGCACCAAGAGACCAATCAAGGCCGCTGCAAATATTTATATAACATACATAGATAAACACAGTTATTTGCACACGCCAGGGCATACTAATGTATTATATGGTTACAAATCCTTTATCCACGCAATTTTGCATTAGAAGTGGAATTTCTCTCTCATATCCAATTGTCTGGCACAAATATTTAATTTGCTGACAGCTGATTGCCATTACGCGCATTTCAATTCATTTCACCAACACACCACGCACGCAATAAATAATAAGTGTAAGTACTTCTATATGCAGAACTTTATATACGTATATAGATATACGAGTATGTGTATACCATATATATATAGTATATATATATATATACTTGTATATAGATATGTTCGTGGGAATGTGCTTGGAGAGAGCCCTGGCAAATACAAACATTTTGCATTGGGAATCGAAAGAAAACCTTCAGAGTTCATTGCATGGGCACATGACGCAAACTTAATCGTGTTTGTTGTTGTTGTTGTTTTATGAAGTCAATATTTTTATATTCCGAACAGGGTGTATTAAGTTTGCCACGCAATTTTAATACCCAGAAGTAAACATGGGAGACCCTATAAGGTATTTATAAATGAACAGCATGATGAGCTGAGTCGATTTACTCTCAGTTTTTAATATATCGATATGAAATTTTGCACAAGCTTTTTCGAGAAGTTGCGATATCGGCACTACTACTGCATATAGCTGTCATACAAACTGATCGACCAAAATCAAGTGCTTGTATGGAAACCTTTTTTCTTTGACGAGATATCAATCCAACCGTTCAATCTCTGAAGAATTTGTTCTGATCTTTTATGTCAGAATAAATGCACCTGTGAAGGGTATTGTATCTTCGGTATAGACGTTTTTTCT